GGTCCGGAGTGAAGCCCTGCAGAGCAGACGCGGGGTCAGACCCAGCTCAGCACTGGGTCGCCGGTGTAGCCTGGACCTGGCCGCCAGCCCCACCAGCCGGGCCACCCACCTGCGTGAAGAAGTCGTCCTGGAGCAGGCGGTCCAGGCCGGGCCGCTCCACTGGGTCAGGTGCCAGGAGGCGGGCGATGAGGCTGGGGGGCCTGGCGGTGGCGGACAGGTGGGCCGGTTCCGGGTAGCAGCCAGCACGGATGTTCCGGTATGTCTCCGACAGGGGGCCGGCCGGGAAGGGCGGGGTGCCGGTCAGCGCCAGGTACCTGGCGGCGGGCGGGAGGCGGTGCCTGCTGCCATCCACACCGGGCACGCACCCCTGCTCTGCACGTGCCCGCGTGTGCTCTGCCCTCCCTGCCCTGCACAGGCTGGCCCGGCACCAGCCCACCCTCCGGACTGACAACTGTCTGCCCACTTGTCTTCACCGGCGTGCCGGACACGTGGGACCCCTCCTCCTTCTCCCTGCAAGAACCCCGGACCTCCCGCCTGCCCGGGCCTGTCCACCTCGCGTGCCCGCCCTGCACGGCCCCCGCCCACCACTCACATGGTGCAGCCCAGCGCCCAGACGTCTGACTGACAGGAGTGCCCCTTCCTGGAGATGACCTCCGGGGCCAGGAAGTTCGGGGTCCCGCAGAGCACCCTGGGAGGAGAGCAGCGGGGCTCAGGGGGGCCGGGCCACCTGTGCCCAGCAGAGGAGGTGCAGGGCCCCCCAGCTCACCTGCGGCAGCAGCCCCCCGGTCCCACCCTGGCGGCCAGCCCCAGGTCTCCGATCTTCACCACCATGGCCGAGCTGAGGAAGAAGTTACCTGGGGGAGGGCCCGTGAGCCCCGCGGCCGCCCCCACCCGGCACTCACTGGGCTTCAGGTCGCGGTGTACGATGCGCTGCCGGTGCAGGTAGCGCAGGCCGCTGGCCAGCCCGCGCAGGTAGTAACGCACCTCGGGCTCCGTCAGGGTCTGCCGGGCTCTCAGCACGTGGGCCAGGGACTGCCGGGAGCAGGGAGGGTGCGAGTGAGTGCCAGGCGGGGAGGCCCCTGGCTGCCTGGCTGCGGGGGCCACAGAGGGAGGGGACGTGCCGGGCACAGGTGGACACGGGCGGGCTGGGGGACCCCAGTGGGCGAGGGGGCTCCAAGGCCCAGGACAGCACACCCAAGTCCACTGGGTTGGGGTGGCACGGGGCACAGGGCACTCGGTGGGCAGGAGTGAGTTCGAGTGAGCAAGAAGCCAGGGCGGACGGCCTGGTGAGCAAGGCAGGCATAAGGCCGGCCCGCGGTGGCCCTCAGAGGGCACAGGCAGCCGCCCGCGCGCCTAAGGGGTCCAGAGGCACTGCCAGCTTCAAGGACAGCGGCGGCCGTGCGGGCACAGGGGGCTGGCGCCCAGGCTGGGAGCTGCACACCTGGCGGCTGCAGTACTCCAGGACCATGTAGACATGGTCACGGTCGGCGAAGTGCCCGTGCAGGGCCACCACGTTGCGGTGCCGCAGGCGGCTGTGCAGTGCGATCTCGCGCTCCACCTAGGACACCAGGGACACAGCGGTGCCAGGCGCCCACCCCGCCCATCTGGGGGCAGCGGAGGTGGAGGGGGCGTACCTTGCCCCTCGGGCGCAGCCGGCCAGCTCCGCCCCCAGCCCGGGGCACCACCTTCAGGGCGAACATGGCGCTGGTGGACAGGTCGGTGAGCTTGTAGCAGCGGCTGAAGGCGCCCTGCGGGAGGGTCAGGCGGCTGGGAGGGGCGGGCCGTGCCAGCCTCGTCACAGGACACTTCCCAGGACACGCAGCTCACACCTCGCGTGGACACACAGCACTGGGCACAGACACTGCAGACAGGCCACAGCGGGCCACCTGGGCTCACACGGCCGCCACACGCAGGAGACAGCCAGCACAGAACGGGACACCAGGCGCACCGCGCAGTTGTGTAACGCGCTCAGACACGGCGCACACGCGCGCACACACCTGGAGCCCACGCAGCCAACGTGGAATCCCTGTTGGTTTGAAGCACCACACTGAACACTATGGATTCAGGCCCTTGTTCATAGAATTCCAGGTTTCCTGAGACCTGACCACATATTTGGCCTTTTTTTTTCTTTTCGATCTGTCCCCCCTCCAGAGCTACAATCTTCTACAACTCCCACGCAGCTCCTCTTCCCACCCATCCAAACACGCCTACTTCCGTTTTGTTTCAGAGCACTGAGAGCATCTCCTCTCCCAGACACGTGTTTTATCT